AATACTTCGACAACTTTGAACGCTTTGAGCGACCTCTAAATATTTTTTGATTTCAATATAAAAAATTGGGTTATATTTTTTTCGGTATAGAACAATCCTAGGGGGTGAGAGCATAAAAATTCCGACTTTACATTTTCACATGGATTTTTGGTTCACCCCAATGTACATCATGGTACAATAAATACACGTATTGTCTTCCCAGAGAGCGCATATTCCGATCTGAGTTATTTGAAAAATATCATTGTTGTCGCCACTAAAAAGTCTACGTACGCCGAAAAAAAACGTTTGCTTACTAAATAAATTGAAAATTCGTATGGCTCACTTCATTTCAAATTTTTCTTTTGAAAAATTATAAAAATGAAATTGACCGAAACCAAAAAGCAAAACCAAATAAAAGTACAAGTATCAACATTGAACTGCATAAAAATGAATATAAGGGAGCACGAATTGCGATGTGAAGCAAAACTCTCTGTAATTATTGTACTATCCCCGCAAACATATTCTGAGCGTTCAGAATATATGAGTCCGAAAGGAGTCCTAGATCATGATGCATGATTGAATCATGGTCCTAAATAGGTAAGAAATATGAGTTTCAAAAACAAAAAAATGAATATTTTAGGATTCATATATTATCCAAGATATTTGAGCCCATATAAAAACAATAAATATTAAGCTAAACTTGTTTATACAGAAATCGAAAATAATGAGTAAACAAAAAATGTACAAAATTAAGCTGCAGCAGCTGCTATTGAATGCATGCTGTAATGGGTATATGCACGTAAGTATGTACATATGTATGTTATTTGAAAGGAATTTTTGCTGAATGCCTTTGCAAATATAGTGCGTTCAATAAGACTCAAAGAACAACCTAAAATGAGAGTCCAAATGTAGTAATTTATAAAGCCGATAAGAGCCTCAAAAAGAGTCTGAAATGATTCATATATGAGGCCAAAAATTGTTTTAAAAGAGTCCAAAATGAGCCGTATATGAGGCCAACATTACTCATATTGGGGCTTATTTGATATATGAAATTAAGCTCATATACATATGTCGACCTTCGGAGGAAGGTAAACACTCTCATATCGGACTCTTAAATAAGCTCATTATGAGCGTAATGGCTCCGAAATAGGATTCCCTAAAGACTCATTTATGACTCCAAATGTTTGCTGGGATGATGTACATACCTGTGAAAATGTAGGTATATGTATGCATAGAAATAAAGGCAATATATATGTAAATAAATATGAAACGCACCTTAAATAGAGTTTCCGCTGCCGTAAACTTGAGTGCAATTATGTTTCCATGCCATTCTGCCATCAGCAAAAGACATCCACTTAATCTTAATTAAGTTGCTAACTCAAATTGCAAGCATATACGAGCACACATTTCTTTTATTTTATTTTATTTTTTGTTTTTGCAAATTTGACGTTTTCTTCAATCGATTCAACAATAATAAGTAGGTCTGGTATACTTACACAAGCAAGTCATCTCCTTAAAAATAGAGTTTTATAAGTACGTTGACCTGAATAAATCTTCTACGTATTATGAATTACTCGCTTGCACTCACCTTGAATAGTTTTGTTTACCGCGCGAAGCCCCTTAAACAATTCAGTGAAGCAATTGTCCAAGGCACACAAAAAGTAAATCGACATCAGCAGCATTTACCTAAAGGCTCAGTTTTTATATGGAAGAAATAGTGAATATAGAAATGTTTTTTTCTTTTTTTGTAAAGAAGAAAGAAATTACTGAAATATGTTGCATTAAATGTAAAAACTTTTTTACAAAAAAATAAATTTACCACACCAACAAGCCTCTCGTCCAGCTCAAATTTGTCGTACTCTATTTTATTTGTAGTGCAGCGCGGTAGCGCCAAGCTGTTACTGGCAGCGATAAAAGGGAGAGGAGTTGGACGACTAGTAGCCAGCCAAACACTAATGTCGCTGCTGTATATATTTCTGTCGCACCCACCTGCGTAGACGTCATCATGGCTAGTGGGGAAAATCGCTCATGCCACTTAATTTGTGGTTGCCTTGCATCAACTGTGCAGGAATGTATGACAAGAAGTTGATCAGCTGGTCAAACAGCCATTATTATATTGTTGATAATAGGCTAGGGTTTACACCACACTTCCGATTTTACAGGGTAACAGGAATACATTAGGCTGGACTCTCTCCCTTACAAAGCCACTTAGAATCTTGTATAGCGTCTTGTTACGGTGCTGACGATCATGCGCGTGCACCATCGCTGTTTAGACGAAATGCGACGTGATGTGTGGGGTATATGTCAGACTGCTACGCAAAGATTTCACACTTGTATCGACTATTATTCTTCATACCATTTATATTATTTTTGCATCAACATTACGAGGAATTTACGAATTCATGTTTACATTTTCATGACATTTTTTAAGAATTATTTTTAATTTTTGTTTTATATTTTATAGCTTTTTAGATTTAATGTGATTTGATGGTGGCCATCGCGCGCATCGTTCTTTGGACATGTACACACTTTTTGGCCTATTAGCAATGAAAAAACTTGAGTAAATAAAAAAGTACGTAATTAAGTGATATATTGTTTAGACCTAATGGGCTGGAGATTGGACAAATGGAAATGATGTAGGGTCAATGAAAGTGGTTCAGGAAGGGGCAAGGTTTAGCTGAAACTGGGTGATATTAATGGATAAGCATACTATGGATAGGTTTTGTTGGTATTCTTTGTATAACAAGATGAAGTTTTGCAAAACTAAGCAATTATGTATATAGGTTAGTATTGTTTTACTCGATTTATAGTTTGATATTAGCCATAAGTTTAAAAACATTTTTCTTTCTAGTTTGCGCGATCAAAATTGCTTAATTTTGCGTCTAAAGCTGCGCCATGCTTTACACATTTCATTTAATTACATATGCAAAAATTTCATACGTGCTTTTACTCTTTCAATTTCCTAAAAATCACAATTTAACAATCTTTCAAAATAATGCGTAAGTTTTTTCCATGGAAATTTGTTTTATTTGCCCTTCAACCCAAATATTCTACATGTGTGACTGTGTCAGAAGACACGAGTTATACACACAATATGGTCTCCATACTACTCCCCCCCGAAATAATTACATGAACTGGGCAAACAATTTTCCATGGTCTTTCAAGACATAGCATACACACCTTAATGCATAATTATCGTAGCCAGGACTTTGCAATTGTCCATCCTCACTGCCAGACATGTTGGATGTTGGGAAATGTGATTCACTTTGAATTCAGACAACAAAATAATTTTTGATGGTGTCTGGCGAAATGCTGTCGTTGCTTTGTCTCGGTTTTCAATCGTCTCACACGACAGACAAATTAAAGTGCTCCAATTTTTTTGCCAATCTTTCGACGATTTATGGTTTTTTCCACACTGACGAAAATACTGCAATTTGAAGCTCAACACTTTTTCTACAGATTGCAACTATTTTAGTGCAAATTTATGTGATTTTTTCAAGCAAATTTCGCTTTTAAATCACCACCAAAACACGCTTCGCACCATTTGTGAAATTTTTCGGATCGTTTGTCAACGTTTGTCAAAAGGGAGAAAGAAGAAAATGGCGCATGTCAATGCTGCCAGCGTTCAAAAATTTTAGTGAGGCCATTACAGAAAAGGAAGAACTGTCAACTGTCAGTTGGGACTTCATTGAAATTCATGATGCATGCAATAATGAAAGGTGTTATACGTTGGCAACTTCTCGCTCTAATCCGCCATCTTGAACTACCTTAGGAGAAACTGTGTTGTTTCTTGGCTAATTTCACTGAACATTTCCCAAAATATTAGAAAAAAATTCTAAACAAGCTACATTGATTCAATTTTCGTTGTTCGTTTTGTTCTTATTCGCTGACATTTGTTTTCTAATTGCTTGAAATTTGGTAAGTATTGTAAATTCTTAGAAATAAATTAACATGAGAGGGAAATAATATCACTTTGAAATAGGGTTGCTATTGATATGACCGATACTGTATGTATATAATAAATTTTGTACAATTAAAAATCAAAGTGCATTTACTAAAATGAACACAACGTATTAATTATAAATTCTGAAATATATTGTTAATTTCAAAAACAAATAAATAATTTGGATGTACGTGAACTTGGGTAATGTATAATTGTTTATATGATTCCTCAAAGTATCCCTTATATAACACTGTGGAACACAACAAAACCTTAGTGCGAATATATAGGTTTGATAGCTGTTGGCATACGAATAATGCCTCATACTCAGATTTACTAGATCAATTCGTGTTCTCCGAGAAAAAAAAATTTCACGATCCAAAAATCTGAAAAATCTTTTTTCTCCAAATTTTGAACATTTATCGTTTTTGGCCTATATTTTATGGCAAATACCATACAAAGCAAATATAGGCCAAAAACGGAGAATTTTCAAAATTTTTAGAAAAGAATTTGGCCGCTATACTCAGATTTTTGAATCGTGAAATTTTTTTTCTCGAGAACACGAATTGATCTAGTAAAACTAAGTATGAGGCATTATTGGTATGGTCAACAGCTATCAAACCTGATATATGCGCACAAGAAGCCCATTTGAAAGAGGGGGACAAAATATCACACGTAAATTAATTCCTCTATTTGGCCTGTACAATATAAGGGAAACATTTCAAATTCACAAGGGATAATTTTCTTAGTGATGCGGCTTATAAAAGGAGTTATATATGCCATACTGTTCTAGCTGGGTATTATCAGCTCAAAAATTTTAAGCAAATTATCATATTCCTGTGAATAAAAACGCGCCTTATTTTATTATTTTAATTATCTACAACTTTATGAGACTACCAAGCCATATATATACCTATTCAGATAATCGGAACGCTGTTGAGATTTTAGTACTTTTTCAACTAAAGGGCTTTTTTTCTTCCCGTTTTTCTTGTACTTCCAAAATACAATATTGACCTAAGGTAGTTCGATTTCGGGCTGTCACAACGTACAACACCCTTTCATTATTGCATCATGATTGAAATTCATTGGAATGCACTACCGGAAGTACAGGGCAACTTTTTTTACTTTTTTCTTTTATTCTTTCTTTCATTCTAATCCATTTTGTTCATCAGCTGATCTCTGCCGTTTGTTATGTGAAACAAGGAGGCTAATTGGTAAAAGATAGTTGCAAATATATATTTATAATCGTCCTGAGATAAAGTAAAATGTTACGCACAGTTACTTTACTCAAGATCCGACAAGGTGAAACTTTAATTGTTGCCTTACGTCTGAAGCATCTGTCTTCCCAACCTAAATCAACTCCGGATGGCACACACAGCTCCACTTTGGACCGTATACGGGCAGAACTAATTGCGGATAAAGAGAAATTAAAATGGCGAAAGCCGATTGGCGAAAGGCCTGGTGATTGGAATAGTAAACTTAAAGTATTCGAGAATTCAGAACAAACCTCCGATTATATCATCGCTATGCAGAAACCGATTAATCTTGGACCAAGGGCACTTAAAGAGTGGTGGCGAAAACGGAATGAACGTTTGGAGAAACATATGCAGCAATATATTCCAGAACGACATGAAATACTCGGCCCGGAGCTAGCCGCGGCGCACTTCTTACTGTATCGAGGGGGTGCTGTAAAATTTTTAAACGAACGGGGCTGGATGCGTGCCAACGAAGATAGAGAGTTCAACTTGCCAAAGAAATATCACCCAGCATTTAAAGTTGAGGCTTTACGATGCGATAATATGACGCTTTATTATGAAGGATTAGAGAATTTGCGTAATTTAGAAGAGTTAAAATTCTTATCATTGCACAATGTTCCCACTTTTGATGATTGGTGCCTAGATCGGGTGTCTGGTTCGGGATATACAAAACTAGAAGTTTTAGATATATCGGGTACAAGTTGCACAGTGAATGGACTTTCGTGTCTGTACCGCATACCAACGCTGAAGTTACTAATTGTAGACGATCCCAAAGCAACGTTGGAGTACGAGCTGGCATATTCGATGTTACAGGAAGTAATACCCAATTTGAAAATTGTCGGTGCTTCATCCATACACGATTTAAAAGCGAACTGATTTAAAATTCGAATCTTTTGTTTAGCAGCGAGTTACTAAAATTAATATAGAAAAACAACTTTAAAAACATTTACATATTTATATCTCAGTAGAGTCGCTAATTTTGAGGTGGCTTAGACCTAAAATATTCCGCTTTGATATCGGCTCGTTCTTCCACAGGTGGGAGATAAGGCGCAATTCCCTTAGCACGACGATCTGACCGCACTTTATTCTAAAACGGAAGATAATAAGATTTGCAACTTCAATAAATATATAATTTATAAATACCCAAAACTCCTTGCAATTGTTGTAGTTCGCGAAATATACCTCGCACTTGTCCTTGTCGTAGTTGTATTTGCTGAGGCATTTGAATGACAGTTCCTGTTCCTGCAAACATGGGTTGTCACGTTCTGCATTTAGGTTTCGTGGCATTTCAATTTTTTATAAGTTTTAAAGGCTTTTAACATTAAAAAGTTATATAAATATCGGAAACTATTTTGATTTTTGTGCGCTGTTGACAAATGTTTAGAATGTGGCGCAAAGAGCAAATACTGAAAAAAAGTAGCGAATGTCACAGCAAGCCACAACGAATAAAGATGGGACGTGGGAAGTGGGAAGCTAAAGACCCCGAAGGAGTATTGGATACCATAAAAACAAAACGAGTATTATCCAATAATTAGGTATGTTGTGAAACAGGGCCCTTTCATTATTCGTGCAACTTTGTTTGCA